TAACATTATGGGAAATTAGGTTGCCTTATGCCCCCAAGTTTTTAGGAGCTAAGCAGTGTTTCAAGGAGATTACCAGTTGGGCAAGATGAAATACTAGACCATCTTTTACTAAACTGTCCTCAACACATATATTCCCACTTGAATCTGATTAACTAAATAACCACCTTCAAATACATGACCTTTGCATAAGATAATATGAAAATGGTTTACAAATGATTTTACTCATAAACATGTGTTGATTACTTTTTATGTGCCAGGCATTATATTAAGTGCTCAGATATATTGAATCATAATCTATACAAGCTTTCATTAATTTCTTTGAGTGTTTCATTTCATAGTTTTACCAAGTATCACCCTAACCTTTAATAGTGCTTCTGTAATAATTGTAATACAGAGCAAGAACCCATATAAATTTATATTAAGATATTTAAATTGCTGGAATATGCTGTATAACATACACATCAAGCACTGATATTCTGGGTTTCCTAAATACCTCATTTGCAAAGGTTTCCATTTCATAGCATCATTAAAATTCTCAAAACTGGTATGTAAGACTTTGAGGTGAACTAGTTTTTATATTCTGCTTTCCAACTTTCCCCAGATTCTACAGCAGTTGTTGAATTTGTAATGGTCATTTCCATCTTATATTTAGTCATTTCTACCAATGTTGGCCCTGCAACATTTTACTTCTTACCTTGCAAGAAGCCGTAGCCCCTTGGCTTAGCCTGGTTTTCACAAGAATGAAAAACAAAACTCACCAAATTTCACCATTAAGGAGGTGTGATGGATGTGGAAGGGAAACTACAGTTTTCCCACTGAGAATATATATTATTTTCATTCTTCTTTTAGAGATTTTCCCTTTTGGGGGGGTGGAGGGGAGAGACTAGAGAGATGCTTCAAGGTCCCCATTCCATATGTTGATTCTATTCAAGTATTGAATTCCAGCCTCCTCTCATTACAAGACCTGTAATAAAATAATTCTCAAAACAAGTAGGTATGTAAGAGTCACAAATGCCTGAGAGCTGTACTATACAAAACAGGAGCCACTAGCCACATCTGGGTACTGAGCACGTGAAGTAGGGCTAGTCCCGCCCTAGCCGGTTTGACTCAGAGGTTAGAGCACCCGCCTGCTGGCTAAAGCATCCCGGGTTCGAGTCCAGCCAAGGGCACGTACATCCATTGCAGGCTCGATCCCTGGCCCCTGTCAGGGCATGTGCAGGAGGCAACCAATCGATGTGTCTTTCCCACATCAATGTTTCTCTCTCTTTCTCTCCCCCTTCCACTCTCTCTGAAAAAGCAATGGAAAAAATATCCTCAGGTAAGGATTTAAAAAAGAAAGAAGTATGGCTAGTCCATATTGAGATGTGTTATAAGTGTAAAATACATACTATATTTTGAAGATCTAGTATGAAAAATATCTAGATTATATCATTAATAAATTTTCATATTGATTACATGTTGAAATGATAATATTTTAGATATATTGGGCTAAATGAAATATATTATAAAAATAAGGTGTTACCTATTTTACTTTTTTATTGTGACAGAAAATTTAAAATTAGATATATGATTCACACACTTTTACAGGACAGCAGTGCTCTAAAAATTGCAAAGCTTCTGATATTGAAAAGAATCTCAGGTTTTTCGCTTAGAATTACAAATACTTGAGGGTTTTTTTGGTTTGGTTTTGTTTTTTGTAAAACTTTCAACTGCCTTGTATAAGATAAACAGATACCAGATGAGTTTCTGAAAATTAGAAGTGCAGTTGGCCTTGAACAGAGCAAACTAAAATTTAAACTGAATAAATAAATAAATATAAGGGATAATTAGACCACAGTCTAAAGACTGAACAAAGTTTAAAATAAAGAAAAAAGAACAGGACCAAGGTGAATTAAATCAATGAAATTATATCAGTGTCTACGATGATAAAGTGCAACAAAGAGGCCCAACAATGATTACGGACAAGGGAAGAACATGCTGGGGGTGGAGTGGGGATGTTCCTGATGGTGGGGCAGTGTGACCTCAAGCCTTAGGGGTGAGACAATTAGACGGAAGGTAGGTAGAGCTACTATCATCACTTACCAGCTTTGGATCTTGGACCTATCTAGTTAGGATGTGGCTCTGCTCTCAAAAAAAAAAAAGAATAATGCTGTGAAAGAGGCGTAATAAATATAGTGTACTGCATCAGACCTGGACAGGCCTGTTACTGTGACATCACCACAGTGAGACGTCTGTGGTCTTTACTTAGTCCACCATACCCATGAGGAAACAGGTTCAAGGGGGTAACTTGCTCCTATCACACTGTTACCTTCTAAATCTCAGTTACCTTCTGTGTTCTTCCTCCCCTAATCAAAGAAGGTTTCTGTTCGTAAGTAACTCTCAGCCTAGTAAAGAACTTTTAAATTTACTTTAAGTTACAATTATTTGTTATAACCTGGACTGAATATATCCTTTTTGGTGAGTCGGAAGTGCTTTTAGAGACACACAGGTTTGACTGCGTTCGTTTAAAATGTGTCGGGGAAGTAAAGTGATCTAGTACAGCTTGTAGTGCGAGAAGTTGTCTTGTCTTTGCAGGGTGGCAGATCTCGAAGGGCCCATCTTTGCCATCATATTGGTCTAGGGAACATTAATGGTGGCTTAGAGCATGGTGATTCTGATCATAGTATTTGGTGTTGATGACTCAGTCCACCAAAAATGATTGCTTTAATAGTGTCTCTTTCTTGCTTTCCCTTCTCTTTTAGATCTGAGTCGTTTTTGTTTTTTTAATTAAATGTAATGGGATGACTATTGGTTAATAAAATTACGTAGGCTTCAAGTGTACGTTTCTGTGATCATATTGGAGGTCTCATATTCATATATACATAGGCATTTTTATTATATATCCACTTTATTACAATTTTATGGCCTGTACCATACTTATCAGTAGGAATATTTGCCTTATGATAAGTGGGCTTCATTAGTAGTGGTTTGGGGCATTATTATTTATTCATCTATAAAGGTTATAAAGCCTCTTTTAATTCATTTTCCAGGAACTATTTATTTAAATCCCAAGTGTTTTCTGATTTTAGCTTTTAAATGAAGGGTAAAATCAGTTCTACTTACTAATTTGATTAATCACTTTATAAACTTGGTGGAGATGATATGTTTAAATAAAAGTATTGGATGAAGATGCTTATCACGAACCTAGTTTTAAGTCCTAGTCCTTTGGCAAATATACTGTGTTCTCTCATTGGTCCATTAGGTTCTCCCTGCCTCAGGTAATACAGCCTCAAAATCGGTGTAACATTTTCTGTGGATGTGGCTTATAAGGAGCAATGAATTATATATAGTTTGTAATGCTCCAAAGAATTGCGTGGTACTTATAATAAAATTTTTATCACAAATCTAGTTGTTGGTATTTGGTGTATTGAAAGAGAAGGAATCCTAAGTAGGCATTAATTTTTTTTTTTTTTGAAAAACACACATTAATATCTTTTTTTTTTTTGAACTTTCAATCAATGGGTAAGGTTCATCTACATTATTACGATAATGTTTGAAGAAACTACTTTGTGTCCCAGTATACTCCTTTCACTTTTGCACTTTATAAATGAATGAGTGTTTTTATATTTATGAACACAAAAGGACGGATGGCCTGTTCCGTTCTCCCACACCATGAAGGAGACCTCCTGTGCATTTTCACGTCGCTTTATGACAAATATTGCTGATCTGCGGGCTGTAATTGTGCTCTGGACAATGGAAATTAAGGTGCACTTAAATACATAGTATCTTGATTTGTGACCTGAGCCTTGGGGTTAAAAGACCAATAACACAGGAGCCATTTCTCTTGCTCGAGGGGCTGGGACGGAAGCGCGGAGAGGGACGGAGGGAGGGACCGGGCCGCCGAGGGGAACCGGAGCCGCCCCCCAGCAGTCCCCAGCGCCTCGGGCCCCAGCGGCCCCCAGCGGCCGAGAGGAGGGGCACGCACGCAGTCGCTCACCCGCAGCCCTTCTCAGTTGGGGGACTGAAATCGGCCTCCGCCTTAGCAGGGCTGCAGCTGCTCTGGCGCGCGCCGTTCCTTGGGCAATCGTGGCACTGGATTGTAGCCGACCTTCCGACCTTTCGCCCTGCCCTTAAAAAATCCGGGTGGGACACTATCAGGGGCTCGCCCCGCTTTCTTTCGGCGTCACTGCTCTCAGGCCAGCGCAGAACTAAGGGTCAGGAGACTGGCCTCGCCGGTTAGAAGCCCCCCCAACCCCCGACTTCAGTGCTAGAGTGAAAACCGAGCACCACCAAGAGCGCGAGTCTTAAGGTGTGAACGGGCGGAGGAGGGAGGGAAGGAGGGAAGGAAGGAGGGAGGGAGGACGGACCGACGGAAGGAGGGCGGGAAATGAAGACAGACGGCGTCCGCCCTCC